CCCCTGCCCCTACTGTAAATAAAGTGGCAATGAATAATAGTACCTTGTGGATTTTTTGGGAAGGAATATTTTAAAACACTTGAATGACTCTCAAAACTTTCACTAATTTGTTTTTCAAAAGTCTGTAGTAATTTCACCACTACCTCACTATTAATGGTATTTTACATTTTTGTTAGTTTAATGGCTGAGCAGCAGCACCTGTGGCTTCAATGGGACTGGGTGTTTTCTCTCTTACTTGCTACGCATTTGTGTGCTCTGTCCACTTGGGGACTCTATAAGGTTTAAATATTTTTAACATGAAATTAATTACCAAACCAAATTTACATTTAAAATAAAAAGCAATTCCTAGGGCTTTATTGTAAGAGAATAAAGCAGAAATGAAAACAGTGATGTACCAAGTGTGTATTATAGTATTCCCAATCATAGTGAAAAAAGTATAGCTAGTCTCGGTGTTTAATGGTGTGGCAAGATTTGATGGCATGTCATGCAACCGTTATAATCATGTTAGGAAGGCTGCCTGGCAACACACAGAAATGTTTATGATTTTAAGCGAAATGAGTACAAAGTGCTGTGCATGTTACTAAAACTACGTGAAAACACCGTCTGTGGACAAAGAGTGGCTGGAAGGTCAGTCAGCGAAGACACAGGTTCTAGAGTGGGGACAATGCGTGAGCTTTATTATGCGTCCTCCTGAGACCCTCATTATATTTTATACTAAATAAAAAGGACGGAGAAAGACCCAGAATGAACGTATCCACTCTCTGTGCAGGATCGGGAAAAGGCTGGAGACGCCATCCAGGTGGGAGCTGCTCCTTCACCGGCTTCTTCACCTGGGGGCCAGGTGAGCAGCTGCCCCCACCTGGGCCCGAGCTCATGGCTCAGGTGGGGACCCCAGCAGCCCTGCTCCTGGAACACAACTTAGATCATCTGAGTGCCTTTACTCCTCCAGTCACCCGCCTTCTTCTCCCACCTCCCCCTCCCCCACAACGCCTTAACAAAGTTAAATTCTCTGCAACTCAGTGAATTTTTGACCTGGGTCTGGCCACCGTTTCATGGACCATCTTGATGAAATGAGGATCAAGAATAATCTCCTGTCAAACTCAAATATCCAGCCCCTTAGAATGGTTGTTGTGGGAGCCAGAGACCTGTGAGTGTGGTGTACAGTTTGGGGTGTCCCTCCTTCCCAACCCTCAGCGGCCCTCGGACTCGCTCAGACATGCTCCACAGGACCAAGCCAGTGTGCAGGGCTGTCACTCAGTGTAGACAGCTCAGTTCCCCAGCCCCTTGCCTGAGAAGTGTTTGGTTTGCTTTCTTTGGGGTGCTGGTGGTTGTGGGTGCAGTTTGAGGCCAGGAGACCTGGGGTCTGGTCCTGCTTCTGTCACTTACTGGCTATGTGCCTTGGGGCCTCATTCACTGCTCCTCACTTCTGTAAAACGGAGATTCTAGACAAGGATTCTAGAGCATTGGGAGTGACCGTGGCTTTGCTGGTTATGAAGATGCCCGAGTCTAAGGGAGGTCTGTGCAGGCAGAGCTCTGGGCTGCCAGACACCTCACAAGATTGCATTTGAGGACTAAAACAAAACAAACCAGAAAAAGAAAAACCCCACAAAGTTTCTATCACTATAAAAAAAGGAAATCCCCAGACGAGAAAACGTGCTCCGTCTGTTATAACTGTGGGACCAGGACTCGGGCTGTGGCTAGCTTTGCCCTGGCACCTTCAGTGGGTCCCCACTCACCTCCTCTCCTTCCAGCCCCCTCCAGAGTCTGGTGCCCTGGCCCCTCGCCCAGCCTGTCCTGCTGCCGGCACCTGGGCCACATGCCCCACCTCCTGCCTACTCATCTCTGTTCTCAGCCCACCACCCCCAGCCCATCTCTGCCCACCAAAGCCCTATCCGTTCTTCAGTGCCCAACTTAAATGCGCCTTCCCCACAAGCCTCCTCTGACCCCTGACCCGCAGTATTGGCTTTGCTGTTTCCTGCAGGTTCTACATATTTTCGACAAAGCCTGCCTGCCCTCCACTGCTGTGTCCTTACCCCCGAGTGTTCTTGGTAGGGATACTTAGGAGGGTTTTTCAGGAATGAGGTACAGAATCCGCAGTGCATGAGGCCTGGGTTTGAATCCCAGCCCTACCACTTACCAGTGTGTGACTTGACAGTAAGTTAGTTCATCTCTCTGGGCCTCAGTTTTCTCATCTGCACAATGGAAGTTGTAGCGAGAATCAGAGCACCTGGCATAGCGTACGTATTTAACTCATGCAAGAGTAAATAAAGCCCATTCCCCTTCACTTCCTTTTCTATTCTCCATATATATACTTTTTTTATCAAAAATCAAACATATGCAGAAGCTTGCATTATATTTTTTTCAAAGTAATACATGTGCATAACTTCAAATTTCAGTAGTAGCAAAGGTTTCATAATGAAAAGCAGCTGGCCCTGCATCACCTCTTTACACCCTCTAAAATTTTCCATTGCATATTTTAAAATTGCATACGTGTTTACTATAGAAAATCAGGAAATGCAGACAAGCAAACCACGTATAACACATTAAATCCCACTTCTCATTTTAGAATGTCTTCTTCCAAATCATTTAGCCATGCTTTGCTTTTTTTTTATCCCCCCCAAAAGGTCCTCAGTGTATTTTTCTGTGCATTATAGCTCTAAGCACAGTCTGCCTTCAATTAAGGGAAGGAAACAAATATTTGTTGAGTAAAAGATGCTGGGTCCTTGCTGCTCAGAGCATGCTCCAGGGGCCAGCCAGCAGCCTGGGCACCGCCAGAAGCGTGTTAGGAATACAGCGTCTGAGGTGCCACCCCGGAATCTGCATTATGACAAGATCGGGGTGACTGGCGTGCATGTTAAGCTGGGAAGGGCTGTGTAGACCAGAGCTACTCAAACTTGCGATCCACGCACTGTTCCTTACAGTCCTGGACAAGAGGCTTGAGCCAGAATGCAAACGCACGCTGCTTCCTTTAGAGAGAAAGAATTGCTACAAAACACTGCCAGCTGAGCTAAACAATGTGATTGATGAGGACGGTGATTTACATTCTGGCCTGAGCTCCTTATCTTGTCAGGGACCAGGGACACGCAGTTCCTGGACTCGGCACCTGGCGGCCAACCACACTTTGAGTAGCACTGTTTAGGTCACAAGCTGGGAAGATGGGGGCTGGGACCACACTGGGTTTCTCTGGCTTTAGATCCCCACCAGTTCCACTCTACGTGGTCTGACCCTCCCACCGGCTGTGACACACACACACACACACACACACACACACACACACACACACACACACACACACACACACACACACACACACCCTACGAGAGCCCTGGCCCAGGATTGGTGATTAGCAAACGTCTGTCTCTGGATTCAGACAGAGGCCCCGTTTCCCTGTCTTTGTCAGTACCAGGCCTCTGTTTACATGAAAGGGGTTTTACACCAGGGTTACTGTTCTCTTTATCAACTCCTCCTGTCACAGCCAAACAAAGCAGGGCACTTGCAGAGCATCTGGAGTCAAGAGAAGCTGAGCAACAAAGCCTGCATGGATTTGGAAAGAGACAAAACAATGTTGGTCAGCTCAAGTTGCCAATGCAAAAAGAGCTCTCAGATCCGGGGTCCATATATAATCTAGTATTTACAAACTCCAGGCCAGGCTTCTGCGTGCGGTGACAGGAGCTGGTGAATAACGGCTCTGAGCCAGGAAGCAAGGCCACTGGAAGGTGTGGCTGAGCAGAGAGGAGCCGGCCTCGTCTCAAATCTCGAACGACATTCGGTTCAGCCTTAGCGTCGCCTTTCTCAAGGAGCCCAGGGGAGCCATAAATGTGGACCACAGCGTTCATTTTTACGTGGACATTGGGAAGACTTGGCACCTTTCACACGTCACAACTTAGTTAAAAGATTTGGGGGTCAGAGTGTGAATTTCCAGGCCACTGTTCCCAGGCTGTGTGACCCTAGGGAAGTTACCAAATCTCTCTTGAGTGTTAGTTTCCTGTAAAGTGGGGCATAATAATGCTGACATTGAAAATATGTTGTAAGGATTAGTGATAGTGTCTGTAACGTGCCTAAAACCAACTCATTCATTCATTCGCTCATTCATGTATTCAGCATGAATACCTCTGGGTACCTGGCACGGGGGGGGTACAGTGGTGAGCTGGAGTTCATGGCCCAGCAGGGAAGATAGGTGGTCAAAGAGCCACGCAAATAAGCACTGAACAGCTGCAGTAGGTTCTGCAAAGAAAAGTGCCAGGAGCCTGTGCCGGGGGCCGGATCTAAGCTGGGGGTTAGGGAAGGTCTCACTGGGCAAGTGAGCTTGAGCTCAGATCCTAAGGGTGAGTAGGAGCTTATGAGGCGAAGTAAGGAAAGGACGTTTCAGAGGCACGGTGAGGACTACTATTAATACGTACTCCAGAATATAGATTCGGGTAGAGAGAAGGGGTCAAGTGTATTGAACCTTTCGAGGTAAAATTTGCATACAGCAAAATGCCCAAATCTTAAGGTACCATTGGATAAGTGTTGACAAACGCACACAGCCACGTAGCCAACACCTCTATCCAGATATAGAACATGGCCATCGGCGTGGGCTTACCTTAATAACTTTTCCCTTAGTGTGAGAGTCAGGGGCTGGGCTTCAATGGGAACATTTTATGGTGGTGCAGAAGGATAAGGCTTTGAGCGAGGCTCAAATCCCAGCTCTACCACTTTCTACCATAGGACTTTGCCCAGGTCTCCCCGCTTCTCTGAGACTCAGTTCTCTCGTCTGTAAGTTAGGGCCAATTAAACCTACTTCACGGGGCTGCTTAAGGAATTGAATCTGCCAATGGTTGTAAATGCCCAGCGGGTGCCAGGCGCATGGTAGGTAGGCATGCTCTGCGAGACAGCCCCGTTGCGTTTCCAGAATGGAACCGGTGTGGGGAATGCCTAGGGGTTGGAGTCGGGCCTCCCCAGGGCAGCGTGCCGGGCAGCTTTTGTACACACACCCCTGACACTGGTCTCTTCATTCACAGGGATGTGCCTGCAGGCCTTCGTAGAGGCTTTCTTTTACCTGGCTCAGAGGAAGTTCAGGATGCTGCCACTCCACAAGCAGGTGGCCTCGCTGATTGACCTGTGCGAATACCACCTGTCCCTGCTGGATGAAAAGCGCCTGGTGTGTGGCCGGAGTGGCACGTTGGGGGCCCGGTCCCCTTGCAGTGGCACTCCCCAGGAAGCCACTCCTGCAGCCCCGCTGGCAGGGGGCAACCTCCCGCCCTGCACAGACAAGCTCTCCCATTCCAGACACGCTCTGTCCTGAGGGCCACCCGATCCTCCCGGGAGGAGAGCAAGCCGTTCAGGGCTCAAGAGAAGCCCTGGGCTTCCTGCCTGTGGGGAGCTGCCCACTGCCGAGAGTTCTTGCCCGAGTCTGCTAATTGTCTCCACGTTCCGCTGAGCTGCACGTCAGAAGGCCGGCTGACCCTCGCCTGCCTCCCTCCCAGTGCCTCTCGGTGGTCCACCAGTTTGCAAGTCACCAGTGGACATATGACACCCCGAACGTGACAGATGGCGTCTTCTATTCTGGGCTCACAGAAAGCAACGACAGGGGTAAAGCTGTTGCGTGTGGGGCACCGACAACCCCCAGACTGAGAACGGCGGCGAGGAAAGAGCTGGAGGAAGCCGAGCCTTGGGTCTGCCGGGGCCCCCCCGAGAGAGGATACGGGTGAAAGCCCACGGACCTGTGTCCATTTCCAACCGCCCGTTCTGTGAGAAGGAAGTGGAAATCTCAAGTAGGCATCCGAAACTCTCCCCTCCCAATCATGTGCTACACGGGCGTAGTTAACACATTAGCCTCGTCGATTTCATTAGCTTGCCTGTTGCTGCAGTGTTCGGTTTGTTATTAATTAAGAAATAATTAAGAAGTCACTAAGTAAGGCTCCGAGAGCCTGGGAGCTGGCAGGAGCCTCTGAGGTCATTTTGCCTGTGTTGGACTGTGACCCCAAAGCAGGAGTGCCGTGGCCACGTGGCTCCTGGCTGGAACCCTCCATCAGGTGGGGTGCCCACCACGTGGTCAGCACTGCCGGGGGCCTCTGTGTACCCACTGAGTGTTGGGCACCCTGGGTGAGAGGAGGGGGCTTCTGAGGGGAGGAGACACAGCCCGGGTGAGGATGAGGGTGAGCAGGGGCACGGGGCCAGAAGCCAGGGCGCAGTGCCAGAAGTGGCGTGCGGGAAAGCGAGGCCTGCGCTCCCCCTTCCACAAGACCCTTTCCTTGTTGCCACCGATGCCCCCAGGCAGCCCCTCTCTCAGAGGGGACGCCTCAGAGGCAGCCGAAGTGGCACTGGGAAAATGGCCACGGGCAAGTCAGGGTCCCGGGCCCGCTGGCGACAGGCGAGCAGGAGGGTCTGCCCTCGCAAGGCCTCACTCTCCACTGCGTTGCTGGGTGTGGGGCTAACGTGGCCCTTTCCCAGAGTGGCCCTGGGGAGAGCTGATTGTCGTGTTCCGAGTGAGGAGGATGAAAGGGGTGGAAGCACTAACTAGCATAGTGCCTGGCACACGGGGGGCCTCCGAAAGTGTTCACACACGTAGGGCAGGGAGGGGGCCCATGGGGGCAGAAGTGGGTCCCAGACAAGCACATATGTCTTCTTTCTCCTACTTCTGCTCTTGTCTTCTTCCTTCTAACATCCCTCCCTGTCTCCTGATCCATGTCCCTGTCACTGAATCCGATGGGAGCAGTTGACTCAAGCTCCAACGCAGAGCCTGGTACACAGCAGGTGCTCAAAAAGTGCCTGTTGAAATGAGTGGCTTGGAGTCAGCCTCCCAAATCCCCGGCTGGTTCGTTGGCTCCCCAGGCATGGCAGCTGTCACAAGACCCTAACAAACAATGGCTCCTCTGGCCCTGGACAGCCTCTCCATGTCCCTTAGTCCCGGCCTCAGGTCTGGACTGCATCCCCCAGAGGCAGCCCCTCTCAGAGGTTCAGCCTTGGAGACCAAGGCCCGTCAGGCTGGTGGTCCTCGTCACGACTCCTCCATCATGTCCAGCCATCTCTCTGACCCCGCAGCAACCTATGCTTGTATGGGGTCGGTTAGGTCAGAGTAGATGACACCGATGTGACTGTAGATAGCCAGGGTGGGTGGGACGGGGTTGCGCAGGGGCCCTGACACGTGGAATGGTGCTCTGTGCCTTTCTAGAACCAGCCCCCTTTCCCATGTGAATTTGACATCTGTTCAACACTTCATGGTTTACAAAGTACTTTTACAACCATCCTCTCATCCGATTCTCCCCACAGCCCAGCAAGGATGAGGATCCTCGTCTCTCTCTTCCCACAGATGAGGGAACTAATGCCCAAGAGGTCAGGTGACTTGCCCGAGGCCTCATGGCTGGGCAGAGGCAGAGGCAGGACTCAGTGAGGCTTCCCAGCCCCCAATCCCATGCTCCTTTCTTGGCACCACAGCTGCTTTCCACGGTGCATCAGTGTTCCCACAACCCAGTGGGGAGAACACACATCTCAAAGAGGCTGGGCAATTCTGGGGGGTTCTGAGGGCCCCACTTGGAGCTGTTTGACCTGCTCTTCTCTTGCTGAGCAGCCTGGAAGGGCCCTCTCTCTGAGCCCTTAGTACACTCTGCGGGCTCCAGGCTTCTCAGCCATATAAGGGCGGAGGCGGGGAGCAGATCTTCTCTCGCTCGATCCCTTGGAACATAGAGAAATGAAAAGCATAATATACATAATATATACACAAGAGTGTTTTGTAAACCAAAGTGCTGTTCAAATGCCATGTTATCATCAGATTGGCTTCTGGTTTCCTACAAAGTGTAAATAAAAAGGCTCCTTCTTGAATGTCGTAATCCATCAAGACAAATGAAGCCCCCGCCGTCAGTTCCTCTCCCTCTCCACCTGCCCTCCATCCTCACATATCTGAAGACATTCAGGGCTGAAAAATAGTCTCTGCCGCTCCTCTGGCACCTGGAATTTGCCTTGTGATGTCGGGTATTACGCCAAAGCAGCTTAATTTTATAAAACATCTTGACTAATGCCCTGAACTCCTTGGCTCTATAATTGAGAATTGGGTTTGAAAAGTTTGGCATCTGAGCACCTTTCCTTTGAAGCTCAAAAGGGATGGCATCTCCCCTCTGGGAGCTGGTGTTCCTGGGACTGAGAGCTGCCGTCTTCTCTCAGCCTGGTGAATACACCACGGTGCGTATCCACCTAAAATCCAACCGTCTTGATTGATATTTTTGCCGATCTCTTATTGGTTTGATGAATGTGAGAGAAATTTTCCCGTACGGCATATGGATTTCTCCCTCACAAAATAAGTCCAATTTTTTTTTCTCCCAGGGACAAAGGAGCTTTGCGGATCAGTCAACATTCAATTACCTCCGTCTCTAGTAACCCAAAGTCTTGATTTGTATATAAGTAGATAAACCACGCAGCCTAGTGCTTATGCATAAGCGGCACACACGTACACACACACACACACACACACACACACACACAGCTCCATTGCGCTTTGGTATAAAAATAGCAAAATTACTGATGTTTTTCTCATTTCTGGCAATTTGTGTCTGAGTCTTAGTTAGAGAGCAGGGGAAAAAGGGCTCTTTGCAGCCCTGGGGTAACATACCATGTTCACCAAAAGATTCGCGGGAGACATTTCCTCTTACAGAGGAGTTGGCTGTGATTCCGAACAGGGCTGTAGTCTCGGGCCGTGGGAACATTGCCAGCTCCTCACCATGGCTCCCCCAGGCCCCTTCCAAACGGCAGGAGCAAAGCAAGGAGCTGGGCAATGAAAGAAGTCAGCAGGGATGTTTTCCCTTCCGCGTGGGGAGAATGAGGGCTGAGAGAGAACCCCAGAGGAGGCCCTGAGCTGTGGTGGAAAGAGGCAGGCTCTGGATTTTGCTGTCTGTCACTCCTCTCACTACGCGTGACCAGTGACTTCACCTCTCTGCCCTAGTCCTGGACTGTCCAGTGGAGACCGTGCCAAAATGAACGTGAAGAGCCCAGCATGGGCCTTGGCACCTGGGAAGTATCTTCAGAAATGTCTGTTGAGGAAAAGAGCAATCTCGATGTGCTGAAACCAGGCAGACGGATGCCGGGGATACTCACCGTCCCTGACAGGAGGCTCCTCAAGGTCTGGCGAGCAGCCCCTTGTGCATGAGCCGTCCTCCCTCGGAGACGGGCTCTGCTGTTTGCGAAGCTGCAGCTCTTGCCTCTTAAAAGCCTTTAAAAATTCTTTATTAAATTTTCATGGCACATAAAGTCAAGGTTCCATTACTTGGCCTCAGTTGTCTTGGTAACTTTGTAAAATGCAATAATAAAATGAAGCCGAGTGCTGCTAATACAGGCTCACTGTATAAACGGCTGCAAAGTCCTGGCGATTTTTTTTCTGTGTGATAACTTTTTAGAGCAAATCCAGAGGGGTGGACCAAATTTATTCATTTTGGATCAGTTGGTGAGACAAGGGCTCCTTTTAATTTTTCCTTCCCTAATGGCTAATGTTGGCCTGGGAAGCTAAATATTGCCTCAAGGAAACTGTGAGATCCTGGGGGAGGTGCAGGGAGGTGTTGGGAAAATCCCCAAACCCTTGATCTGCATAAGGGACAGTCACCCTTATGGAGGGAGTAATATGTCCCTAGCGTTTGGTTACCTGTCAGAGACTCTGTGGCAGGGACACCTGCCTTGGGAGAGAACGTGGCCCCTTCCAGCTTCGTGGGTGCAGCAGTCACTGCACAGCTCTGGGTGGGGCAGGCATGGAGGAAGCTCGAGGCAGGGCACCGCCCCAGAGAACAGGTGGTCAAGCCCCAAAGCCCCAAAGAAGCCATTCCTGGTGCTGCATGCACTCCTGGTGGCACCATCCCCAGGAGCAGAGCCCCGCCCCCCCTCCTGGCACCAGCTCTCCACTTAACTTTGGGAATAGCCTCGGTCTGCTCTGAATGTCCCCCAGAGTCTGGGCTACCGGGTAGAAAGTGAAATGCAGGTGGCCTTAAGTTAAAGTGGATCCCTGCTCCCTAGAGATCACCACCACTCGTGGCATCAGAGAGGTGTTCATCCTGCCAGCCCTTCCACATTGAGGGGGCCACTCAGGCAGGCCGTGACCCTGGTACCTCCTTTGTTCTTTGGACCCCTCAGGTGTTCCATTTGATGAAATATTCCTTGTGCAGGTTCTACTCTGTGCCAGCCCCCTTGGTCCTAGATGCCCATGTCCGCAGGTCATGGCTCAGCAGCGTGGTCAAGCTGTCACCCCACTCCCGGCTGAAGAAACCCAGGTTTGCCAACCTGATGGAGAGGTGGCTCCAGCAGCCTGTGGGGTTACAAGTGCCTCGAACCTCTGCAGCCAGGCCAGGCACGTCTTTGGGGATTGGCTGGGTTCTGTCGGGGCCACAGGGGTCTGTCTACACAGCTGCCTTCCGTAGGAGCCCTGGCATTTGGTGGGACCCTCAGGGCTCAGGTCCCACCTCAGTCTTTAACCCAAGCAGCTCCAGCTGTATCTCTGAAATAGAATGGCCTTTGGTATAAGATTGTACCCATGGCTGTTGCATTCTAACTTGTCAATTTTACAAATGAGGCAAGGAAAGCCCAGAGACAGGGAGGGCCTTAGCCCAAATGTCCAACAAGTTAGGGATGTGAACTAACGCCTGTTCAGTGAGGGAATATGAAGAGCAGAAGCCAGTGCCAGCCCAGGGAGCTTCTAGTTCAGGGCTTTCAATCCTAGATTACACAAAGCAGCTCAGCTGTTAGCTGTTTTATATGTTAAGGTTGCATGTACACTAAGAAAAAAGCTTCAAATGCCATCATCATCACTTCCAATTTTCACCTGTGACAAAGCTGGGGGCCTCAGAGAAGTAACTTGTTCAAAGTTATGACCATAGCAGCACCATCCCCCGGCCACCTGAGCCCAGCCACAACTCCTGACACCGCTCCAGCCCCTGGGACCCGGAAAGACGTGTGAGTCATGCTAGCAATGGAGCTTAGTCACCGGGCTGGTTCACCCCAGGGCCCAAGGCAGGAGCTGGGCTCCCCTAGATTGGGCTGTCTTCTCTCAACCATCCTAGAGTGGTTTGGGGGACCCTCGGAGGCTCCTAATCCTCAGACACTCGCAATGTGACCTACTGGAACCCTCTACCTCAATAGCCCCTCACTGGTCACTTAAATAGATGCACTCTGAGCTATTTCTGGAGCCAGCTGCTGTGGCATCAGTGGGTCACAGGGTCTGTCACTGTCTGTGCTGGGGTAACATAGAGTCCAAACTTTGCCAAGCAGAAGTCAGCAACATGGCCCCAGGAGGCCATCTGTAAGCAGCCACTTCTTTGAAGCCTCATGTTTTAGCTTTAAAAGTCCTGTAAATATTGCCTCTGCTCCATATTAGATCCATATTTTAGTCAAGGTAGGCCAGGCGATGCTAAGATAACAACTAATGCCCCACCCCGCTCCACCCCTCGAATCTCAGTGGCTTAACACAACGGAGGTTTATTTCTCGTTCATGCAAATCTGATATGGGTCAAGTGTCTCTCCAGGACGTCTCTCCCCCACACAGGATCCTGGCTGCTTCCAGTCTCAGCTCTTTCCTCTCAGTGAAGGCCTCCCAGTTGCCTCTGGGAAGAAGAGAAGACAGGAAGACTGCAAGAGTGGTTGTTCAGGGGGCAGCCAACATGCCCTTGGCCAGAACCCCGTCTCTGTCCCTAACCTTAGTGCCAAGATGTTGGGAAATGTATTTCTTCCTGTACACCCAAGGAGAGCAATGAAATGGGACTTGGTGAACATATGGTATCATTTGTGCTACAATTCATACTTGTTTTAATATACAAATGTTTTTCTCCCTCTCGATCTTCAAATAAAATTGTTGCTGTAAGAAAACAACCATGTTTATCTCCCAGCCACACAGAAGACCCCGCCCCCGTCACACATTCTCCACTTGAGATGTACAACATGAGTAAGATACATGGAGTTCCTAAGACTCCAGAGCCTTAGGGGCATACTGAGGGGATCTTGCATCTTCCCACCAAGAAATCCAATCCTAGGCTCTGTAATTTGGCGGGAGCTCAGCTCTGAGCTCCTTGGGTAGCTTTCCCATCATCTGGAAAACCGAATCCAAAGTGAGTCACCACTGAAATTTCCCCTTGAGGGGCATGGGGGCCAAGCCTGGCTCCAAGAATGGCTGAGGATACCAGACAGAGTGTCTGCTCTTCTCAGGCCAGAGCAGAGCACTCAGTTCAGGACCCGGGGCCCTCTGGCCTAGAGACAGGTGACCCAGCCAAGCCAGCTTCAGCCGCCCCTGCACATGCGCCCAGGTCACTTACTTACCTAGCCTGCCCAGGAGGGTAGGCCCTGCACAAATCAGCCTCACTGCACTGAGTTGAATGACATTAGGGCTCCTTCTGTAGCTGGTGGCAGCTATGTCACAATTAACATAAGGCAGTGGAAGTGGGGAATGTAAATCACAGCCTAGTTCACGTTCACTGAGCACATTCAATGGCCACGCCATGCCAGGCACATTACACAGAGAGGATGCCAAAACATGTATACACATTTTAAGAAAGGAAAACTGTATTAAAATTGTAGTTCTCAAGATATACCAATTACAAAAGATGAATACAAGCCATGTTTCACTTCTGCAATGACAAGAGGTGCTCAAAGTGGTGACCATCAGCGTCCAGACACTTCTGATGACGGTGAACTACTGTTTGAGCAATGTTGGCCAAAGTGTCCACGTGTATACATTTTTTTGGCACCCCCAGTGTGTTAGTTCCTTTAATCTGAGAAACAGGCTTAGGAAATGGATACTCTTATTATCACCCCATTTTACAATTAAGGAAACTGAGGTTCAAAACAGAGGAAGTGATTTGCCAGGGCAGGGTTTGTAAACGCCAAAGCTGGTTTGGGATCTCAGCCTCATGGAGCTGGACTCCAGACATTCCTCTGTGTTGCATGTTGGGCTCCCCCTTCAAACAGCGGGTGAGTCCTGCCAGGGTGGCGTTTGAGAACATGTGGAAGTGGGGTACCCTGGGGAAAGCCTTGAACAGCACCTTGTCAGCAAACATGTCTCTGAAAAGCCCTTGAGTGTAATAAAGCCCTTGAGGAGAGGCCTCACCAGGCCCAGCTTCCTGGAGGCTGCCCCAGCCCAGCCAGGTTCACAGAACGGGGAGGCCTTGGGAATTGCCTCAGCTTGGCAGCAAAGTGACGGCGGAGGGGGATACAGAGAGGCCCCGCTCCAATAACTGAGAGCCTCTGTGTCTGGCTGGAATGTACCAGGCAGTGTGCGCAGGGGAGGCCAGTGGCGAGCGTGTGTGAAGGAACGGCTTGGTCCCAAGTGCCAGAGGCATCCCAGCCATGGCAATGAAGTGAGTTGCATCCATCCCCTTCTACAGCCAAGGAAAGTGCCCTCCACAGGCCCATGAGGCCACCATTGAGACTCCGGTGGGACAGCAGGGAGAGGGAAGCAGCTGCCCACATTATTGTGGGTCAAAACGTCCCAGGACCCCAACCATCCAGGGTCACTGATCTGTGAGCAAACAGCATCGTGACATCTGGAACGTCTGCCCCAAAACCTGGGCTCCTAGCTCCACATCCCAGAAAGAAGCTGCCTGTGCAGGGTGGGAAATGCCACCTTGTTTCTCTGGGCTTGCACATGGAGTGTGAAGTGGTGCCTGATGGGAGCGGAAGGGCCGAGAGCCTCCTTAAAGCAGAGAGGGGCCTTCAGTGCAGGGGCACAGAGCCCTCCGCTTCAGGGCCAGCCAGGAAATGTTCTTGCACATTCCACAGCCTTTACTTCATAAAATGTGGAAGAATTTTATACATTTTACTAGGTTTCCTTTATTTAAAAAGCTTTTGAAGCGTTTTGAGTCTCGTGATCTATCTGGAAAATTCACTTTCATGGAAATTCATTCCCCAAGGACACTGGGTGAAATAAGACCACACTGCATGGGAAAGACATCCAACCATTTGGGCTTCTTGTTGTTGTGATTATTTGCATACACACACACACACACACACACATGCATACATATACATACATACATGCACACATGGCGTTAATGCATATACATGGCCAAAACTAATAAAAACAGCACAGAGAGATATACACTGACAAGTAATTTCTCCTCCAAGCCTGTCCCTCAATTCTCCAGTCTGTCCCCAGAGGCAACTATTGTTTCTGGGTTTCATGTGGCCTTTTAAAGACAGTCACGCATAGATAAGAATTCTTACATACGTTTCCTCTTTTTTGCACTGACCTGCCCTCTGCTTTTTTTTTTACTCAACACTGTTGCTTAGAGATTGTTGCGTAAGTACGTGCAGATCGGCCTCTTTTTTTGCAGATTGGCCTCCATTTTTTAATGTCGTCATGGCATGCCATTATATGACACACTATAA